TGGGTGTCGGAGTGTGAGGGGTGTGCATGGGTTGGTGTGGGAGTGTTGGGGTTTATATGGGTGCGAAGCTCTGGGGGCGAGTGGATGGATGTGGTATGAATTGTAGGAGTAGGGCGACTTACTATTGTAGTATCATAGAATGTCGTTTTTTATATCACATAATGTTGTTCATAATAGCATATAGTGTGAAGATAGACGAGGCGTATGAACATATCAATGCACCGATATACGCAAATATGCCAAAGGAAGTGGTCGATAAGAGGACGACAACACTTGACTGTAAACTTACCCTAGAAACTCAAAACCCTAAAACCAACATTCGAAATCCTTATGTACGCGTGTCTCCTATGTTGAACAACGAGGCTTTGGTACGTACCTATCTTAAAAAACTCTAAATTCTAAACCCTAAATCACATAAATGTTAAAACCCTAAACCCTGATGCAGACATGGAAGAGGACGACGACATAGACGATTTCATCGTGAAAGGCAGTGCTTACCAATCCAGTGACCGAGGGGGTAGCAGAAGCCACCAGGACGCAGGCTATGACTACAACAACCAGGTACAGGCAGACTAATATATATATATATATATATATATATAGAGCCTGTGAACTGTATTCACGTATAGTTTATGTACTAGTACCCTGTGAACTGTATATATACATAGTTTTTGTATTATGTTGTGAACATTGAAAATGTATTCGTATTTTGTCCCAGACATATCTCTGAATTTTGCCCTGTCTGGCCTATCAGAGACTCTACAAGCTATACAAAAGACTATTGTATATCGATGGTTGATTTTGATGGTGATTCCTTATGCAGGATGAGTTGGTTGAGTTGTTTGGAGACCCCTACGAGTACCAAGACATTGAGGTGGCCGAAGACGACGTTGATATGGATGAAGATCTGGGTAGTGACGATGAAGGGTATGTGTAGTTATACATCAATTTAACGCAGCCTTGTAGAGCTGTATGCATTTGGTCGTGTGTGTATGTATGTGAGTGCTTGCGCAAGTTCATGTCCGCGTGTGTAGTATGACGGTGTGGAGGTGTTTTATTCGTTTCCCAACAGTACGTATATGTGCACCAAAGCAATTATATGTGCATCTCTGTCTCATATACTACGGCAAATAAGTATTATACCTGTAAACTACCATTACCCGAGAGTTCGGGATGCTTTTGTCACCCATGCTAGACATGTGAGCTGATCAACCTCGACAATACTATCAACAACAACAATACTATCAACAACAACAATATCAACAACAACAATACTCTCAATAACAACAATACTATCAGCAACAACAATATTATCAACAACCACAATACTACCAACAACAACAATACTATCAACAACAACAATATTATCAACAACAACAACACTATCAACAACAACAATACTATCAACAACAACAATATCAACAACAACAATACTCTCAACAACAACAATACTATCAACAACAACAATATTATCAACAACAACAATACTACCAACAACAACAATACTATCAACAACAACAATATTATCAACAACAATAACACTATCAACAACAACAATAATATCAACAACAACAATATCAACAACAACAATACTATCAACAACAACAATACTATCAGCAACATCAATATTATCAACAACAACAATACTACCAACAACAACAATACTATCAACAACAACAATATTATCAACAACAACAATACTATCAACAACAACAATACTATCAACAACAACAATACTATCAACAACAACAATATTATCAACAATAACAATACTATCAACAACAACAATACTATCAACAACAACAATACTATCAACAACAACAATACTATCAACAACAACAATACTATCAACAACAACAATACTATCAACAATAACAATACTATCAACAACAACAGCGTGTTCAGAAAGAAGGCCAAGACCTTTGCGGATGTCTTTGAGCCCAGTCTCCTGAAAGAACAATACCTCACCGAGCAGGACGAGGTCATCAAGCTCGCCGACGTACCGGAACGAATCCAAGTATGTGTGTAGTATGTGTGTAGTATGTGTGAAGTATGTGTGTAGTATGTATGTAGTATGTGTGTAGTATGTGTGTAGTATGTGTGTCGTATGTGTGTAGTATGTGTGTAGTATGTGTGTAGTATGTGTGTCGTATGTGTGTAGTATGTGTGTAGTATGTGTGTAGTATTGTGTAGTATGTGC